CATAAAGGACAGATTTATGATGACTGAAAATGAAATAGTGTCCTTCAGTTATTGAACAATCAAGTCAAAAATTTTTTGGAGAATGGTCTTTCTCAGGCTACACTTAATTAAGCTCTAATATTTCACCAAATGACCTGGAAGAAGTAAAATGCATTTTTTTGTCCGTTGCATTTAGTTCATTAATAAGTGATCCTCATCATTTAATAGTATAAGTTGTTAATTTATAACCCAGATCATATTCTGCTCTTCCAGCACTCTTTTTTATTTAATTCATATTTTCTCTAGGAAAAATATTAGGGAACATACTCACACATGAAAAGGAATGCTGAGCATGAATACTAGTTATTCTGTTTTTCTTCAAATTCTCTTGATTCAAGTAGAAAATTATAAAAAGCTCGTATAAAGATAATTACAATCAGCACCCAGAAAAGAACTGAGTGATATTAGGTCTTCTCTGTCACCTTGAATGACATGCTTTGAATAATCATTCCTTCTGGTTAGGGGAGGTATTTGGCCTTATGACAAAACTCATATTCCTAATTAACCTCAAACTAATGCATGGGGTATTTTAAAAATTGTGGCTAAGTGCCAGTAGCCAATTTTCTGCATTTAACCTGTGTGAGTTCCCAGGTTCGTGTTTCTATCACGCTGGAGTGGGCTCGTGTAGGAGACGAGTGGGAAGGTCAGTGTGCGCCATGTATTTCACTGGCTCTCACAGACTCTCTAATTGGGCCTAATGATAGAAAATTGCAGTGTTTAAAATAGTATGAGGTTAGCTGTCTCTGACATAGCATTTCCTTTTTTAAAAAAATTTTTTTATAGTTATTTATTTTTGAGACAGAGAAGATGAGCGGGGGAGGGGAAGAGAGAGAGAGGGAGACACAGAACCTGAAACAGGCTCCTGGCTCTGAGCTCCCAGCATAGAATCCGATGCGGGGCTCAAACCCACGAACTGCAAGATCATGACCTGAGCCGAAGTCTGACACTTAACTGACTGAGCCACCCAGGCGCCCCAGACATAGCGTTTCCTATCTTTGCATGGAAATGTCTATGAGGTGCAAAGAAAATCCTAAAACTATATTATACCACCTAAGAAGATTTAAGAAAGAAAGTTTATTGGCAGAGGGTAGATTAAGAAATACCTCCTCATCTTCCCTTTCTGGCACACCCATACTTTACCTTATGGAACAGACCCATTTGAAAAAAAAAGGATAGAGAAATACTGATTGTTTCCTATTAACCGTCTGTCCTGTCTTCAGGATCTAGTGTCTGATCTTCTTTTCTTCAGAATCAATGATTTAAAAAATTTTTAAATGTTTTTATTTATTTTTGAGAGAGAGAGAGACAGCATGAGTCGGGGGGGGGGGGGCAAGAGAGAGAGGGAGACACAGAATCTGAAAGAGGCTCCAAACTGTCAGCATAGAGCCCAACATGGAGCTCAAACTCACGAACCATGAGACCATAACTTGAGCCGAAGTCAGATGCTTAACTGACTAAGCCACTCAGGCGCCCCCAGAATCAATGATTTCTAAGATGACAAAAGGACAAAATTACACCTCTCTATCCTTGTATATTCACTAGCACAAAGTGTTAGTATAAAACACCAGAATGTGAAGAATGGGGTAGGTGCTGGCAGGGACATGGCTTGGTATAGAGGAATGAATGAACAGAGGGAGCAGGGTTAGAATCTTACCTCTTCCACTTGATAGCCTAGAGGCTTTGGCAATGTGACTTACTCTTCTGGAGCTTGTTTCCACATCTGTAATATGACATATTACATAGACAATAATATTTATCTTATAGATTTGATATAAAAAGTGTCTTATACAGTGTTGGCACATGGTAAGCATTCAAGACATGGTAGTAGTAGTTGATGATGATGATGGTGATGATGATGATGAGGAGGAGGTATAGATTCCAATAGGTAAAGCATTATGGTTAAAGGAGGAGACTTGAAGATAGATGCTTATTGTAGTTCATGCTGGGGGAAGTGGGTTTTATTCATTGGATTTGTTTAGTATGTCAGAGATCCAGGCAAGAAGAACCCCTCATCTCAGAATAGTGGAGCTGTCTGTTAGAAGCCAGGATGGAGACAGTATAACCCACTGCTAACCTATAATCTACCTTCCAGCAAGTAAAAAGTGGGCAAGAGAATTGATTTACCTGATTTTTGGCAAATATGTCATTTAAAAAAATCTCACTGCATAGAATGTGTAGATTACTTTGGGTAGTATTGACATTTTAACAGTATTTATTCTTCCAATCCATGAGCATGGAATGTTTTTCTATTTCTTTGTGTCTTTGATTTGTCATAATTTTTCTATAGTTTTCAGCATATAGATCTTTTACATCTTCGGTTAGGCTTATTTCTAGGTATTTTATGGTTCTTGGTGTAATTGTAAATGGGATCAATTTCTTGATTTCTCTTTCTGTTACTTCATTTTTGGTGTATAGAAATGCAACTGATTTCTGTACATTGATTTTGTATCCTGTGACTTTGCTGAATACATGTATTAATTCTAGCAGCTTTTGGTGAATTCTTTCAGGTTTTCCATGTAGAGTATCATGTCATCTGCAAAAAGTGAAAGTTTGACTTCTTCTTTGCTATTTGGATGCCTTTTATTTCATCTTATTGTCTGATTCCTGAGGGTAGGACTTCCAACACTATGTTAAACAACAGTGGTGAGAGAGGACATCCCTGTCGTGTTCCTGATCTCAGGAGGAAAGCTCTCAGTTTTTCCCCATTGAGGATGATATTAGCTGTGGGCTTTTCATACATGGCTTTTATGATGTAGGTATGTTCCTTCTCTCCTGACTTTCTTGAGGGTTTTTATTAAGAAACGATGATGTATTTTGTTATGTTTTTTCTGCATCTATTGACAGGATCATATGGTTCTTATCCTCTCTTCTATTAATGTGACGTATCACATTGATTGATTTGCAAATATCGAACCAGCTCTGCAGCCCAGAAATAAATCCCACTTGATTGCAGTGAATAGTTCTTTTGAGGTACTGTTGAAGTATCTTGTTAAGAAGTTTTGCATCCTTGGGCCGCCTTGGTGGCTCAGTCGGTTAAACATCTGACTTTGGCTCAGGTCATGATCTCACAGTTCATGGTTTCGAGCCCCGTGTCGGGCTCTGTGCTGACAGCTCAGAGCCTGGAGCCTGCTTCAGATTCTGTGTCTCCCTCTCTCTCTGACCCTCCCCTGTTCACACTGTCTCTCTCTCAAAAATAAATAAAACATTAAAAAAAATTAAAAAAATTTTTTGCGTCCTTGTTCATCAGGGATATTGGCCTGTAATTCTCATTTTTAGTGGGGTCTTTGTCTGGTTTGGGAATCAAGGTAATGCAGGCTTCATAGAATGAGTCTGGAAGCTTTCCTTCCATTCCTATTTTTTGGAACAGCTTGAGAAGGATAGGTATTAACTCTGCTTTAAATGTCTGGTAGAATTCCCCAGGGAAGCCATCTGGCCCAGGACTCTTATTTGTTGGGAGATTTTTGATAACTGATTTAATTTTTTCACTGGTTATGGGTCTGTTCAAATTTTCTATTTCTTCCTTTGAGTTTTGGTAGTGTGTGGGTGTTTAGGAATTTGTCAGTTTCTTCCAGGTTGTCCAGTTTGTTGGCATATAATTTTTATTGTATTCTCTGATAATTATTTGTATTTATGTGGTGTTGGTTGTGATTTCTCCTCTTTCATTCATGATTTTATTTATTTGGGTCCTCTCTCTTTTCTTTTTGTGAATTCTGGCTTGGGATTTATCAATTTTGTTTATTTTTTCAAAAAACCACTTCTGAGATTCATTAATCTGTTCTGTGGGTTTTATTTTTAGCTTCTATATTGTTTATTTCTGCTCTAATATTTATTATTTCTCTTCTTCTGTTGGCTTTGGGGGTTCTTTCTAGTTTCTTTAGGTGTGCTGTTAGATTTTGTATTTGGGATTTTTCTTGTTTCTTGAGATAGACCTGAATTGCAATGTATTTTCCTCTTAGGACTGCCTTTGCTGCATCCTGAAGGGTTTGGACTGTCATGTTTTCATTTTCATTTGTTTCCATATATTTTAAAATTTCTTCTTTAATTGCCTCGCTGACCCATTCATTCTTTACTAGGATGTTCTTTAACCTACATGCATTAAGATTCCAGTAGGGTGAACATGCCCCTGGGAAATTAAAGAGGTTGGTTTGGATGGAAAAGTACATGGGAAATTTATCTTTCTAGGATTGTATCTTTCCTAATTAAACAGCAGATCTTGCCATATTGTCCCTCCAATGACTTTTAAAAATCAGTAATATTGGAAACACCTGCTAACTGAAAGATTATTGTGGATAAATATAAGAATAATGATTGATCATGTCTGATGACACCTTCATTTCAGAGGCAGGCCTCCAATAACATGAAAGAGATCATTGTATTGAAAAGACTTAATGAAATATAAAGGCTATTTCACTATATTCCTCTCTCTCACACACACAAAATTACTGTTGGAGAGAGGCATTGATATAGAAGTCCAAGAAGAAACAATGTTTTTCTAAAAAACTGTTTTATATCAGGATCCAAAGTCTTAAATACAAATGGCATTGTAGAACAGAGATATTCATAGTGACAGTTCAAACACAACCTTGGATGTCATCTTTGTTCTTTTAACTCAAACTTCAGCCAGCCGGCTATGTGATACAAATTGGATGCTGAGTCCTGGGATGAGATCATTATTACAAAGCACTGACAAACCTGGGAGCTCTCATGAAATCTCTCAGGCAATAATTGTTACATGCAATTTAGCTTGGAGACAGTGGATTGATCTCTTTAAGGATGCTTAATTTAAATAGGATGGTAATTTGCCCAGATAGTTACCATGTTAAAAGTCCTTGAGAACACGTGATAGAAATGTATTTATGGAACCTCTAACAAAACATGTAATGAAGAGACAGACTTATCAGAAGCGTCACATTCCCTTAATTGTACCCTTCATATTCTTCCTCTTCCATTTCCCTTTAAAGCAAAAGCCCAGAGGATCCAATCAGCCCTGGTATTTGCCCAAAGTGGAACAGCCTTAAATAAAGAGTAAACACCATAAAAAAATCTCACTGTGTCTAAGGGTAAAATCCCAAAATTCAACATAGGACATTTGGAAAAAGATTATAAAACAGAGGAGAATAAATATGATGATGAAGACTCAGAAGAGCACATACGTGAAAGTGAAATATGGTGGGATTCACAAGAAGATTCCAGGTATTTATTTTATATCTTTTGTAGAATTTATAAGATTTGTGAACCAAAAAAAAAAAAAAAAAGAGAAGAAATTATAGAGAACAGATTGATATGAAAGGATAGGAGGACAAAATGAAGAGGTAAATAGATCTGATTAAGATATAATTGTAAAAAAATGCAATAGCAGAATTGATAATAATAGTTAATCATTTTTAAGTGTCAGCTTTGCTTTAAATGTATTAAACTCATTGTACTTAACTCTGATATAGTACCTATTATTATCTTTATTTTACAGATGAAAAAACCAAAGTATGGAGAGAATTAGAAATGCAACTCAAGTCACAGAATTGGTTACTAGAAAAACCCATATTTCTAATCCAGGGATGCAGAGAGCATGCTCTTAACTAGTGGGCCTTACTGCCTAGGAGAGTGAGAGCAGAATTAGCACTACTGAATTAGCATAACTAAAATGGTTATGAGAAGACAAACCTGGGAACATTTTCTCTATATTCAGAATATAGAGAAAAAAAAGGAATGGATGAAAGAAACAGTAGAATGGAAAGATGTAGAAAACAGAGATTGATGAGCAAACCTAGGAACTACAGGTATTCCCGAAGGGGAAAATAAATACACAGAACAAAAACAATTATCAGAGTTATAATTGATAAAAATGTTCCCATTCGAAAAGATGTCTTTGTCTGTGGACAAAATAGGGCTCCAGTGCTCCAGACAAGATCGAAAAAGAAATCCATACGTAAATATATACAACAAAGTTTCTGAATGAAAGGAAATAAATTCTCAAGTATTCAAGGAAAAAAAAAGAAAAATCCCTGGCATCAGAGTTTCTTTTTCTATATCATTAAATGTTAGAAGACAGTGGAATAACATTTATAGAATTCTGTGGGAAAGAGGTTGTGACCAAGAAATTTATACCCAAATAAGCAATCTTCCAAGAAAAAACCAAAAGAGAACAAAACTCAGGTATTCATGAACTCAGAGAATGTTTTACTTTTAAAATAATATTTGAGGGCATTTTCTAAATAGCAAATAGATGAAGTAAAAATTGTGATTTGCAGTAATAAATGAAACAGAAAACATAATTGGCTGGCAAAACTGACTGTATAAAACCACCAAGCGCAAGACTGAGCCCAATGTGTTTTAACACCAGTTCATTCAGACCCACAGCTAAACTGATAAGACCACAGACAAACTGTCTTCACAGTAACTACACATAGACTTGTATTCCAAAAATAAGACCACTGATTATTCCAGCAACTTACTCAGTTATAAATCCTGACCAATTCCTGCCTGCATCATACTTACTTCCACTTGAAACTGTGACTAACACCAGCTTCCAAAACCTTGAAACTTTCCTCCCTAAGCTCCTCTTTCCTTTAGAGACCCTGCTGAGACCTCTTTTAGGTGATAACTCTGTTCTGCTGAGCAAGTTTTATCAAACCCAGCTTTGTATGATTAACATGCCTGTCCCATGTCTGTGGGAGTATGCAAAGTCTGGTAGTGAGCACTGGAACATATTAAACACAGCAAATCAGATTATAAAACCGAATGCAAATGTCAAAGTAGTTTTCGTCAAACCAAAATTAAGGTAAAAATAATAACATGGAAAATACAAAGAATGGAAAGTTAGATTATTAGAAAAGTAGTAGTATTAAAATTATGCTAAAATTTTTAATTTAGTTATGGTGGACTCTAAATATAGTTTTTCATTTTAATGTTTATAGCTAGAGAAACGTCAATTTAAAATATTTTTGAAAAGTAAATGTAACATGGGGCGGTGGCTCAGTCGGTTGGGCATCCGACTTCGGCTCACGTCATGATCTCACACATAGCTTGTGTGTTCGAGCCCCGTGTTGGACTCTGTGCTGACAGCTAGCTCAGAGCCTGGAGCCTGCTTCAGATTCTGTGTCTCCCTCTCTCTCTGACCCTCCCCTGCTCACGCTGTCTCTGTCTCTCAGAAATAAATAAAAAAACATTAAAAAAAAAAAAGTAAGCGTAACTTAATGGAACTATAAGTAGATCAGTGCTTCCAAGATACCAGTGAATATAAAGTAAAGCCACATGCCAGTTATAATAGTAAATAAAAATGAGTAAAATCTCCTTATTAAAAGAATAGGATTCTTGGGACACCTGGGTGGCTCAGTTGGTTAAGCGTCCCACTTCAGTTCAGGTCATGATCCAGTGGTTCATGGGTTCGAGCCCTGCGTTGGGGTCTGTGCTGACAGTTCGGAGCCTGGAGCCTGCTTCTGATTCTGTGTCTCCCTCTTTCTTTTCCCTTCCTCTGTTCATGCTCTGTCTCCCTCAAAAATAAAATAAACATTATTTTTTTTTTAAATTTAAAGACCAAGACTATCAGATTGCATGTAAAAATATAATCTAATTATTTGTGTCTATCTACAACAGACATACCCAATTAAAAATTGACTTATTAAGGTTAAAAGAAGAAAGATGGGCAAAAATACTTTGTGAGTAAAAATAAAAAACACTTTGTGATATTATCAGATAATTTAAATATTTGATGAAAAAGGTTAATTTTATTTGTAAAGAGTATTTCTAGAATAAAGCCTTAACTGTCATGGCATTTTATGTGCTGGATAGAAATGACTAAAGCAGGGGCGCCTGGGTGGCTCAGTCGGTTGAGTGACCGACTTCGGCTCAGGTCATGATCTCACGGTTCGTGGGTTTGAGCCCTGCGTTGGGCTCTGTGCTGACAGCTAGCTCAGAGCCTGGAGCCTGCTTCAGATTCTGTGCCTCCCTCTCTCTGATCCTCCCCTGCTCATGCTGCCTCTATATCTCTCTCAAAAATAAATAAAATATTAAAAAAAAAAGAAATGACTAAAGCAACGGTGAAATCTTGATTTTCCCCATTGGATTGGCAAAAATTTAAGAGTCTTAATACCTTCTGTTAATGCCTAGTGATGTGACTGCAAAGAGACAGGAACTCTCAATATTTACATGGGAGTAGAGCTTGGAATCAGCTGTTACAGGATTGTCCTGCAATATCCACAAAGAGTCTGAACAGTATATATACACTATACTATATATATACTCATTAATTCCACATTTAACAAATTCATTCAAAGTTTTGCTTTGAATTGGAGACCTTTTCTAAGATGCATATAAAGGGTATATATTACAAAATTACATTTGGTAATAAAAATGGGTAGTCATCTCACTCTCCAATATAGGGAATTCGTTAAACAAAGTATAGAATATCCATGCAATGGAATAGAATGTAGTCATTATATTATTACTATTATAGAATGTGTGCCTTAGACAACACTGGGCAGTGGAACTAGGACTTAATTGTTTAGAAGTTGGACCTAGATAAATGCAGTTTTTAAAAATAAACTCAAAATGTATTATTAAATGAAAATAAATTTCATACTATATAAAATATGTAATTTCAGTATGTTTATATGCATAGAAAAGAGAAATGGAAGACTATCTGTCAAAATGAAAGCAGTGGTTATCTCTGCATAGGGAGACCAGGGTGGCTATCTCTCTTCTATGTGCTTCTTACAGTTTATGATTAAAAATTTTTTTTTTCATCATGAGAAGTGTATTCTTTAGTTCCCATCCCCTAATTCCTCCATCCCCTGACCTAATTCCCCTCTGGTAACCATTAGTTTATTCTCTATAGTTACTAGTTTGTTTCTTGGTTTGTCTCCTCTCTCTCTCTCTCTTTTCATTTGTTTGATTTTGTGTCTTAAATTCCATATTTGTCTTTCTCTGACTGACTTGTTTTGCTCAGCCTTATACTCTCTAGATCTATCCATGTTATTGCAAATGGCAAGATTTCATTCTTTTTTGATGGCTGAATAATATTCCAGTGCTGTGGCTAGCACTTTCAGTTCTAGGTTAAATAGCAGTGAGAATAGACATGTAATAATATATTAAAGAAAATCATATATCACAATGAAATGGGAGTTATTCCCAGGATACAAGGGGTTTAATATTTGGAAAACAATCTAGGGCAACTGGGTGGCTCAGTTGGTTGAGTGTCTGACTCTTGATTTCTGCCCAGGTCATGATTTCATGGTTCATGAGATAGAGCCTCACATCAGAGTCTTCACTGAGAGTTGTGGGGCTTGCTTGGGATTCTCTCTCTCCCTCTCTCTCTGTCCCTTCCCTGGTTGCACTTTCTCTCTTTCTGAAAATAAATAAATAAACATTTAAAATATATTTGCAAAATAATATGGTGTGTCATATCAATATGAGAAAGGATAAAAACCATATGATCATTTCAATAGATGCAAAAAAGCATTTGACAAAGTACAACATCCATTGATGATAAAAAGCCTCTGGAAAGTAGGCCCAGCGGGAACATATCTCAACATAATAAAGGCCTTATATGATAAATCCACTGCCAACATCATACTCAATGGTGAAAAACTAAGAGTTTCCCCCCTATGGTCAGGTGTGAGACAAGGCTGCCCACTTCCACCACTTTTATTCAATATGGTATATGATTTTTAACATAGTAAGAATGGTTTACTCTAATAATCCGTAAAACACTATATAACTATGTCCTTTATTTATTGTTTATTTATTTATTTAAGAGAGAGAGTGTGTGTGAAAGCAGGGGAGGGGCAGAAAGAAAGAGAGAATCTTAAGCAGGCTCCATGCTGTCAGCATAGAGCCAGACATGGGGCTCAATCCCACAAACCTTGAGATCATGACCAGAACTGAAATTATGAGTCAGACACTCAACTGACTGAGTCCCCCAGGCTCCCCTAAAACTGTTCCTTTAAATAAGCTCTTTCTGAAGGTCGTGAAAGTGAGGCTTGAAAACATGCACAGACCTCTTGAATGAGAAGTTATATTAAGTGATGGCAATTATTTTCCAAATATTGAGGAAAATTTTATAAAGGAATGATAATTTAGATGGGTGTTCCCCAATAAAATATTAAAATGTATTAAAATTTAGATAATGGACAAAAATAGTCCTAATGAGAGACATAGTGATGGAATAGAGGAAGAGTCCTGAAATAGATTCATCT